CATGTTGCCCCAAGTGTCGTTACTGCCACTATTTGTTGCTTCCTCCTTATAGCACTGCTGTCATCTTTGCTTTCCGTTGCCGTCATCATTATCGTCGTTGTTGCTTCCTCACCAAATAGTCTTCTTTCAAGTTCCATAAGGTTTTAAAATTCTACAACTCTAAACCCTGTTTTTTAAAATTCTTTGAATATTTGCATGGGTTCAAATTTATTTGAATTTTGAAAAAAAATTTCATTCTATGATTTTATAAGAAATATTTAGAGACAAGAAGGTTTCGCATTGGGTCATTGAAAGGATCCGACAGTCAGACAGCATGCAAGTTGATATTGGAGGCAACAATAAGTATGCTTATTTGAAATAAAATTACTGCTATAAGGTAGTTAAATTAGGTCTTACAATGATGAAAAAATATCTTTCAGACTCACATAAGAATATTGCATTTTGTTTGAAGTGCCACAAACAATGAGAAAGCAAATCTGGTCATACATGAAATGTCGACTCTTATTATGAGAGCAAGTGCAGTGCCAAACTTTTATTCATCTTAGCAACCAATTTAGTAAAGGTATAAGAAGTCCCTTATATCAATATGTGATAAATGTGGAGTATAATATGGGTCATGGAGAGGGGGCAACTGCAGTTCATAAGATGTCTCCAGAACATGTTAGAGAGACCCAAATCCGTCGCATGGATATTGTCATAAATATATTTTTTTATTAGAAGCCATTCCATTCAATATGACAACCTCTCCTTGTTTTACTATTGATTTGTTCAATAGGTGCTTTTTGTCGAGACTTAAAACCCCCATTCTTATATGATTTGAGAGTATGGTTGTTAATGTAGGAGCTAAGTAATACATGGAAAAACATAGAGAAGATTAAAAGGACCCGAACTTAGACTAGATTGATAATTATGTCTGATGGGTGGTCAAATATAAACAATTGAACTTTGATTAATGGTTTAATTAAAAATCCCATGACATAATTTTTATGAAACATGTAGGAGCATCTAATCAAGTTAAGAATGCATAGTATATTTTTGGGCTACTTGATTGAATGATAGAAGATTGGAGAGCATTTATTGGCTCAGATTGTGATGAATAATGTTTGTGCTTGTAGGGAAGCTAGGAATAAGTTGATGGAGAAGAGAAAGCATTTATATTGGACACCGTATGTTGCACACTATATAGACTTGATTTTAGAGAAGCCTAGTGACTTGCCCCAACATCAAAATTGTTTGACCATAGTAAAAAAGGATTAGTAAATTCATTTATAATCATTTATGGGTTATTTTCGAAGGCAAAGTTTTCCAATAAAATAAACATGTTATTATAAATTAATTCTAAGATTGTATTGATATTAAATCATAATATATTGCTATAAAATATATAATTAAATAAGTTCTAATTAATCAAATTTAATATAAATAATATATGATTTATAATGTCAACCATCTTTGAGCATTTAAGATGTTTCTTGTAGAATAACAAACTAGTTGAACTGTTTTTAGGTTGGCTCTTTTAACCTTCGTGTTTAAAATAACGTTTGAACTTATTTATTTACTAATATGAGTAAACCTAATTGAATATTAATTGAGGTGAGTTTGAGTTGTTCATTAAGTGCATTAGTTCATTTATATCCCCATGTACTTATTTTTTGCAATTTTCCCTATAACATTGGAATGCTATGCTTGGAAACTTCATTTTTATGATTTTTTTTCTGCATATTATCTTATCCGCGAGGAAGCTTTGTTGACGACGAGTCAACAAAATTTATGATGAGGTGAACACAATTTTTTTTCATCTCTCCCTCTTTTTTCTTTCTTTTTTTGTTCTTTTTTTTAAAACAACTTTGTATGCTTTACATATATATATGTGTGTGTGTGTGAGCGCACGCGCGCGCGCGCTCGCGTGTGCACGCATATATGTAGAGATAGAAAGGAGTGACTTGAAATATAAACACAATTGGGTGTTTGAGGGGGACAATCAATTCCCAATTATAGATGAAAAGTTTTAATGGTGGTGTTGACTATTATTAGAAAGGAAAAATTGAAAGTGAGCTTTGTCAAAGTTGAGGTGGTGTTTGCAGGGGAGCATAAGCGATGGTTCAAGTTTGTATATGGAGATGAGGTAGAGAGAGGTCACTTGGTGTGGGAGATAGAGTTGAAGTTTCAAGCTTAGGAGTGGTGTGGTAGAGCAACATGAGTTTTTTCCTTTAGCTTGTGTTCGAACTGAAGGAGGACTGACCAAATATTTTCTTTTTTCTGTTGGATTACATCAAGGATCGTCTTTAAGCCCATATCTTTTTGCTTTAGTTATGGATGGTCTTACTGGACATTTACAGGAGGATGTACCTTGGTGTATGCTTTTTGCTGATGATATCCTTCTCGTGGATAAGGCGAGAGAAAAAATCTAAGAAAAGCTTGAATTATGGAGGTCTACATTAGAGTCTAAAGGCCTTCATTTGAGTAGAACTAAAACTGAATACATGGAATATAATTTTTGTAGTAATAGCTCTAGCGACAGAAGTGTAACTTTTGGTGATCAAATTATTAAAAGTTGTGAATGATTTAGATATCTCAGCTCTGTTGTTCAAAGCGATGGTGATATAGTTGGGGATGCTAATAGTAGAATTCATGTTGGTTGGTTGAAGTGGAGGAATGCTTCGGGCCTTTTAAATGCTTTTGGTTGAAGTGGAGGAATGCTTCGGGCCTTTTATGTGATAGAAAAGTACCACTTAGACTGATGGTTGGGAGGGATTACTACGTACTATGACGAGATTATCGTGGTACGGTCGCGATCTGGCTTCAGTCGGGCTAGCTAGGAAGATTGGATCGAGGCCCGACAATAGTCTTCATGACCTTGCAAAGCTATCGTGATTTGGGCGAACTGAGAAGCAACGATTGGATTTCATAGTATAAGGTTTCACCATTTTGATAAAAACAAAACTATATTGGGAGAGATGACAGTAAAAAAGGTAGAATTTGTGGGGAAAAAGTTGGAGGAAGAGATAAGTCAACTTAAAATCTGGGATAGAGGAAATATTCTCCGCCATAGTAAGAAGGGTTTTATCTATAGATGATAGGTTTTCTTCCATTGATAACTAATTTGGGAGCTTGGAAGAGATGATAAGGAAGTTTATTGAGATGGAATCCAAGACCTCATTGGCAGCTCAATTTGCAAATCCTAACCAAGAGTTGGCCAAAAATTCAATGGCCAAATCGAAAGGGAAGGAGATCGAACAGGAGGAATATGAGGAAAAAAGTGGCTCACATCAAGATCCCCCTTCCAAGTCTCCAATTAGGGGTTGAATGAAAGAATTTTAATGTTGGGGGTTGGGCCGAAAAATGGATAAGAGGTTATGCAAGAGGTATGAAGGATCACGAAGAAGAAAAGAGAGAAACATGAAGAGGATATAGCTTATGATCGAAGGAGAGTGTTTTACCCTCAATACATAGGGGGAAACCACAGAGGGAGAGAAAGTTGGGGCGAAGATGCTAGGGTAAGATACTGATCTTCAATGGGGGAAGACTCACATGGGTGAGTAGATCAGGTGGAGCAATATTTCACTGTGAATGTACTAGATGGGGAGGAGAAACTCATGGTGTCAGGGTTTTGCTTGTAGGGGAAAGCCTTAGATTGGTTTTAGTGAAGGGAACCTAGGTACCTGATCCGTTCGTGGGAGGAATTTAAAGATTTTTTGTTGGGCTATTCGGGAAGGAGACCTGCACGGGCAATTCTATGTCTTGACTTAGGAGGGGACTGCTATGAAATATAACGATAAATTCAAGCTTTTGTCGGGAGGGCTGCGAGAGGGGAGGGGGGGAATTCTGAAGCAGGATTGGTGAGCAATTTTATGAAGGGCCTAAAGCCCGACATTTGGGCAACACTCAGTCTATTAAGACCACAAGGAGTGAGGGAGAGGATGGAGCTTACCTAGCTGGTGGAAGATAAGAACCAGATGAAGAAGACCAACTAAAACGACACCATAGAAGGATTTCATGGGAGTAAGTCAACAACTATGACACCGAGGACCCTGTCGGTGTCATTTTAGAAGGAGACGCCGAAGAAGAGGAATGTCGGGGCCTGTCTTGAGAGCAACTTCAAGCGCTTCACAAATCAGGGGTGCAGAAGAAGAGAGCAAAGAGGTTTTGTTTCCAATGTGATGAGAAATATGCCCTAGGCCATCGGTTCATGGATCACACGTTCCAGGGCATTTTAGTTTATGAAGGGGAGGAGGCAGATAATGAGTGGATGAAGAAGCAATGGAGGAGGAATACCTTCATTTTTTTCCACTTTGAAGATAAGGTGTTTTTTTTTATTGGAGGGTATTATTACGTCGGCCTAGCCTAAGGGCAATATTGTCTTTTTGGTAATTAAGGGCAATTGATTCTTTTATTATGTATTATTTTTTTGTATAAATAAACCCTAATAGATTTAGGGTTAGGTATGCATGAGATTTTTGTGGCGAGTTTTAGGTTTAGGGTTTGGAAGAGATTTCCTACATCTCGAATTGTAGGAATTTGGAGAGATCGCCTACTTCGCGAATTATAGGTATTTTTCTTTTTATTCATGTTGAATTGTTTGGATAATTAAAGAAAAATATTAGTTTGCCCTAATTTCTCTGGAATATTTTGTCGATTTTTGGGTCGGATTGTATCACAAATATTCTTTGTGATTTGATTCAGGAAGCACTTTCCATTGCACTCAATAAAATTTTTGGATTTATATTCAGTGGACTTTTCAAGCTTTCTATTGATGTGATTCAAATCTAATTTTATTCACGAATTTGGACTTTCATTTGGTTGGCTTTTTCATGCTTTATAATATATTTCTGTCTAATAACTTTAAGTGATCTCTAATAAATTTGTGATTTTGCAAGTTTAGCATTGTAGGAAACATTTACGTAATTTTGATAGGTATAGACTTTGTTTAGTATAATACGGGCATAAATTAGAACATGTCCATTTTTGGCCTGACATAGTTCATTCTTTTTCCATTACAGGCTAAGGATATTACTGATATTGGCTCACTTAAGGCGTCAGCCAAGATCTTTGTCCCTGGTAAAGCTCAATATTGAAAAGAAATTGTTTTCTGCATGGCATGATTGTAGCTAATATTAACGTCCTCCGAAACAAGTAGAATAATTACGTTGGTATGCTTTCTTTCTCCACATTCACGGCTTCTAGAAATTTTTGGGAAATTTACATACATGTCACACAATTCTTATGGATATACATATCTAACACATAAAGCTTGATATTTACATTTATACACCATTGTAAACTATGCATAAAAAGGTGCATTTGATTTAAGCGTTAGTAAAAGTAGTATTTGATGTCATGTTAAAGAACTTAATGCTATGAATACAAATATTAAAGTTTAGGTATTAGATGTGTTAATACATAAGAATTGTGTGGTATTTATGTAAATGCCCAAATTTTTTCTATTGGATTACTTTGTACGATTCTCTAAATCAAACAGCCTGTTCTGCTATATTGTAATTACTTCTGGATGGTGTAACTTTATATGCAATGCTAGCTTCATGAATGAGCTGAGAAGCTTTTCCTGACTAGGATCAATGTGATGGATGATTTTCTTTATCTGCAATTAAAATGCTAGTTGATTTGAGTAGGATCTAGAACTGTCACTGCTTCAAGGTTCCCGTGAATTGCATTTTTTGCTGTTGTCTTTTTTGCTTTCAACTTTAAATGGGGTCTCATATTCACATGGAAGCAGGCTTGTTATTCTCATGCTGGCACACGTCTTTTTCTTTGAGTTTTAGAGACTTTCATCTGGTGCATTGCAAGTTCAAAGAACATCCTCCTAAAGGCAAAGCTTCTATAGGGGCTAGTGAAGGTGGTTTTTTCATTGTCCTCAGGTGTTATAGGGATCTGGTGGTATCATAAATAGCCATCTAGGAAGTAATAGAATGGGTGGTCTGTTAATCTATCCAACATCTAGTCCATAAAGAGCAGGGGAAAATGGTCTTTCATTTTGAGGTTAGGCTATTAACTGAGTTTGCAAACTGCAACTGGCTGGATCCCATTAGACAATGTTGCAGTGGTTTCTGAAATTCTCACTTTTGGTGGCGTTATCTCTTCTCTTATGGAAATGCCTGATATGTTGTTTAATTTTCTTGGTTTATCGCTCTTTATTTTCTTGTATCCTACACTACAAAAAATGATGTCCAACGGAATGCAAGACTCAAGTAGGAAAACACGGTTTTGGGTTTATATGAGAACAACTAAGGGAATCTTTTCCTCTCTTTAGGAACTTTTCCAAATTGTTTTTCTTTTCACATTTTCTATCTACTTCTCCTCTCTTTTATTTTCTTTATGGCCCATTAACTTCTGACTATCTTTCTGAGTGTCTAGTTAGTTCTCTCTCCTTCTATTGACCAAATCATAAAGAGAGAAGTCAAGCTTAGGATGATGACGAGTGAATGAGAAAAGCTTTAGTAGCTTGGAGAGGCTTTTGGAGGATTGAAATTATAGTCAGGAGTACCTCTATAAACAATTCTTCATTTCACCAATCTCTTATGGAAGTTTTTTTTTATTAGAAGAATTGAAGAAATTACCTAGTTGGCTTTGGTTTCAAATATTTAAGGATAAAGGAGAATTCTTTTATTAGGGAATTATTTTAACTACTTATGAAAAAGTTAAATTTAATTGCAAATAAATAAATAAATAAAGGGAAATTTACATATATGCCACACAATTTATATATATTTACATATTTAACACCTTAAGTTTGATATTTACATTTGTAGCACTTTGGTATTATAAATTGTAGAATTTTGGAAAGAATTTTATTTCTCATTCACTTTAATGCATTGCACTTCACTTTAATGAATTTTATTTTAATGGAGCTGAATTTCATTTTAATTGTCGTTGTTGTATATATCATCATACGATGTAGTCTCTTGTATTTGAATCTCTATTTGCCTTTCTATATTCCTTTCATAAACTCGAGTGACATCATTCATATACATGCTTGAGGATCATATACATGCTTGAGGGACATCATATACATGCTAATATCTTTCATTATTTTCTTCAAATAAAATGCATTGAAGTGTCAGTCTTGTATAATAATGCTTATCTAATGGCATTTTTCTATATTTTATTTTATTTATTTCGAAAGGAATCAATTCTAAATCCTTCAATTGATTATGAAGATTTTTTATTTTTTCAATTGCTTGTTTTTGTGAAGACATCTCTTCAAAACCAGAATCTTTTTTTCTTTTGTAGCAAGATTTTGTTTCTTTGATTTTGAGATTAATTCCTCAAAATATTGAATATTTGATTTTATATTAAAATTAAATTTAGAATGAGATTGTATAGTCAGATGTGTTTTGATAGGCTAAATATTGACTTCTTGAACCTTTTGGTTTAATATTTGGAATGCATGTTGACTTTCTTGGAGACTGTCAGTCATCACATCCAAAAAATCAGCTAACATTAGCTAGATCGCCTCTGGCGGCTTTATCTCCTCAATTCCCTCTCGAACGGCTAAGGTCATTTCCATTGGGGAATGTCGTACTGACCGTAGAAAGGTGGCAGGGGAACCACAGGCTTCTCCGTGATGCGTGTCTCCGCTACTCCAAAATTTTGATGGATAAGAGAATGAGATACTTCCCATCCTTCGTGAACGAGTGAATATTGTTGAGCCCATCATGCTGAGTCTTGCGACCAAACTGTCATGGTTTTTCCAACAGATATGAAAGGCTTGCATAGGTTCCACATCAAACCACACCTGATCTTATAGCTATTCTCCAATAGAAAATCCTATCAGGCACTGTTGATCCACTCATATCTCGTTATCCTTCAACAAATTCAATTAATAGGGTTGAGAATGCTTCTGCATAGCCAAGCCTAACTTTTTCATCAAAACAGCGGAAACCTGAATGGTTGAGAATGTGTCTGCGTGGCCAAGTTTAACTTTTTCATCATAATGGTGGAAACCACATTCTCACAGGTTTCTCCGTTAATAATGAGACCCCACACTTTTCCTCTCATGGTACATCTGGTGTGAAAAATACTATGCCTCAACCTTGAGTGCTCCTTCTGGGGTTCAGGTTGTAACCCCTCCTAACAATGAGTATCTGACCCTCATCTCCCTAATGTTGTTACTCCTCACCTTGTTCTTCAACTGCATCTTCATCTGTCACTTCATCCACGACGCCTTGCTCGTTGAAGTACGCAACTTAGGTCGTCGGAAAATTGGAGGCGGTATTGTCCATACCCATAGCATCTGAAGCACTTCTTGGTTGGAATGGTACCGGAAGTGCTATTCTTCTCATGCTTCTTCTCTCTATAATATGCATTGTTATTCCCCTGACCCATCTTCCCAACTCTGCCAGGCATGTTCCTGTTAATGCTTCCAACTGTAGGGTGTTGTCTGAACATGGGTGGGTACCTACTCTTTTTCAAATGACTCTCCACCTTTATACTAAAGTCTGCACTTCACTCAATGTTCAATAGGTTGTAGTTGGATCATATTACTAATAGCAGACTTCAAGCCTCCCAAATTCCTGGCTATTATATTCTCTATCTCCGTCAGTTCATACTTCAACGTAAGCTGCATAAATTTTGTTGTGTATTTCTCAAATGATAGCTCATGTTGCAAGCTGTGGAGCTTTAAGAAGATATCTCGACGATAGTGTTGGGGTAGGTACCGTCGCTGCTTCGCCTTGTTCATTTTCTCCCAATTAGTGATTTTCTCTCGTACTTCTCTCTCTCTTCCTCTTCAGGTTCTCCCACCACAAATTGACATTCTTCTTCAACTTGATGGCGGTGAGCTTCACTCTTTTGTCATTTGTCACCTCCTTGTATTAAAAAATCCTCTCAGCAGTTTACATCGACTCGAGGAATTCATCTGGATTCATTCTTCCTTTGAAGTCATGTCCACCTTCATTCATAGATCTTTGTGCCCTTAAGCAAACACTTTCTTTTGGTCTCCTCTAATATTGAATCCTGAAACGCCTCGATCGATTCTTATCTTTATTGAATTCATCCCTACGGAAGGAGTTCAAAAGTTCTTCTCATTCTCCTTCTCGGATCTCGTTGTTACCGTCCATGATGGCCCCTCCTTGGGTCTTTTTCGTAATGGTATCGAGTCGTAATACTTGATGGAGTAGCCCTTATATCTCATCCATGGTAAACTCCTGCTCAAGTTTCGCCAATTGCCTCATCGGTGGCATAATTAGGTTTTGGGCATGAGTAATTGAGAGGAGGTGTGTAGGGGTGATGTAGGGTAGGAAACAAAAATTTTGGGTGAAGATAGGGTGGGGTAGTGGTGGATGCTAGGAACACTAAGATATGATTGGGATTAGGCTATCTTTAATACCAAATGATTCCAGAGTTAACCCAAATGACAATGGAAATGTAATTTATATTACTGAAAACAAATAGAGATTACAATAAAAAAGACTCGTAACTAAAAAAAACAATAGACACTCAAGTAGTGCTTAGGTCGAGGGTGGTGGTGCTGCGGTCTATGGAGACATAGTAAGTATATCAGGCTAGATGGTCGAGAGGCAGTAATGGGAGGCAGCGACGACAACAAGGTAATATAGGGGCTATCGGGTGGTTGGAAGGGGACAAAAGCAAGGTTGTGGGAGCGGTGGTTTCAACAGGAAGGTTGTGGTGGGGTGATGGAAGGGTTGTGGGAGGTTTATCGCATCAAGGTCGATGATCAGAAGGGATGGCGTCTGGTGGGAGGTAGCAAGAACGGAGGGACGGTTGCAAGGAAATAACAAAGAGACTACTTTTTGGATAACGACAGAAAATACGACAACAACAGTAGAGGAGAGGAGGTTGTGAGAAGCAGGAAATGATAGCTAAATACTACCTCATGACAAATTATAGCCGGAACGTCTTTTTCGCCTTTGGATACAACCATAGGAGGGAGAATTGGAGACGCTGACGACTGTGCTGATGTAATAAACAGAGAAAGATTGGAAACATAAGACAAATGAAACACATATAAAAGCTCTAGATAACTATGATTTGATCATTCTACGAAATGGAGCGCCAAACCATAGTGGACGGGCCGATCGACCCTCCAAGTTTGGACCAGCTTGGTCCAGACAAAGGAAGCACATGATTTTTCTGTGGCTTCTCTATTATGCCCGCGTCATTACGACACTCCAGAGGGAGAAAAATCAGATAACTAACTTTCGAATTCAGAAACTCCCAAAAACTCCTCCAGAAAAATCAGAATACAACATATATATGAATCTTTAATAGAAAAGGACTTACCTAATTAAAAAATATAGAATTAGGAAAGAACTAAAAATGAAGGAAGCAAACGAAAAAATATAGAATCAGAAAAGAACCAAAAAGGAAGCAAAGGATGGAAGAACCAAAAATATAGTATTTAGAAACTCCCTGGTTGCTATGGAGGTCTCCTATAAATGAAAAGTAAGATCATCCTCAATGGGTATCCTCAAGAATTCATCCACTATTGATTTCTCTTTAGGTTTTAATTTTCTTTGACTCAATAAATTGGCTTTTCACTACCCTTTCCAGTACTTTTATCATATGGCTCAGATTTATCCTAGAGGCTTGGATCAGATAATTTCAACGCATCAATTGTTACGTCTTGGTCATTTTCTTTTAGAATCACTTTCCTCTCTTGAACATCATTAATGACCCTTCCTATGGTTAGAAATAGTCTCTCGAGAATTAAGTGCATTTCCGTATCCTCTTTTAGGAGAGAAAATAATATAGAATTAGGAAAGGAAACAAAGGAAAAAATATAGAATTAGGAAAGAACCAGAAAGGAAGGAAACTTGCAGGAAATAAAGAAAAAAAAAATTTATTTTAGTACAGTATAGACTCCCATGATCGCAAGAGCCAATTTCGCGGCATCTCGGTTAAGGCCTTCATTCCACGACACAATGTTTCCATAATCATGGCTCCAAGAAAAGTAGATGTCTTAAGCCTTGACATATTGGCATTCCTCACCGAAATTTCCATGAAAACGAACCATAATGACTATTCCCCTCCTTTCTACCAACGCAATAAGACCTTGTTAATACCTATTCATCTCACAAGACATTTAGCCTCGACCACATAGCCACTTCCATCCTACTCGACTACAACCAGCTTAAGGTTTGCGTCTTTCCCTTTTGCCAATCCAGTGGGAGTGAGGTGATGAAAATTTGAAACAATTATGGGGGAAAGCATATAAAACGCTGGAAATTACTTTTATCTTCGGGTCCATCCATTCCTTTGAATTCCTGGTGGACAACAGAGTAAGACTTCTAGTCCAATAAGAACCCATGCTATCTATGAGAGAAAACATTGAATGTGGACCAATGTCAAGCTTTCCCATGGAGTCTGCTCCTTCTCTTCTCTCCTATCCTGGCCCCATCTCTTCTCCATTTGGATCTCTCTCTTCAATTACTTCTTAGATCAAAGTTATGTTCCTTGGCTTCAATAATGTACAATCCCAAACTACCTAAGGGTGTGTTTGTTTCGGTTGTGGCTGTACAAAATCTCAGTTCAAAAGTTGTTGTTGAAAATCTATTGTTCATAAGCAGTTAGTTTATTTGAAAAACACAGTTCTGAAAGCGTTACTTGTAGACTAATGACTGTAATACCCCTCAATATTTATTATGTCGATAACATAGACATTTTTACTATACATCAGTCTCTTTTTATATTTGTGTTACCCAAAGATACAAAAATATAAAAGTAAATTCTATAAATTAATTTATTGAATAAAGTGAAGGCTATACAAAAATAAAGTCTATATAGTAATTTATTGAATAAAGTGAAGGCTAGATTTTAAAAATATTATTTTAATTATGAAAATGGACATTTATTTGGAATAAATACAATGATGATTTATCAAGTTATTTTTACTCGCAACTCATTCGGGGAGCTGGTTGAATGGGATACGCTGGAGTCGTTGCGGGCTTTCTCATGGAGGCGGAGGGAGCGACGTGAGGAGGTCAATGATGGCAGCGGCTTGCTGCAGGCAAACTCACTGAGGTGGAGAGGATGAACTCGGGGAATCCGGTGGGGAGTAGGAGCTGCAGGCGGGTGCTAGGGCATGAACTGTGACTGGGGCAACCATGGAAAACATCAAGGGTTTCACTGGGACACGGAACAGTATTTGCATCCGCATTTTTATTAAACAGCGGAATGCGGTTCGGGAACGGGATCGGCGAAAAGCGCCAATCAAACATCACAAAACGGCATTTGTAACCTACTGTGGTTCAAAACTCTGAAACAAAGCACCCTAAGTCCATTTTTTTAACACATTATTGCTTGATGAGATAGAAGGTAAAGTAGTTTTTCAAAGCGTAAGATAATTAAATCAACCGTACCAGCACCAGTGCATCGGATTCCATCAAAACTCTGCAGTAAGCGTGCTTGAATGAGAGTAGTATTAGGATAGGTGACCTCCTAGGAAGTCCTTTCATTACGCCTCATTTAAAAAGAGTAATCAAACTATAAGGTAATTGATTTGGCAATAGTTTTCTTTGGCTAAGTTTACATATTTTTAATGTTTCAGAGGAATGCATGGCTCAACTGTTTTATGATTGGTATTGTATTTTTGACAGTTTAGAAATTTTTTTTCTTCAAATTTTACATTAATTTTTATGACAAGGCTTTCTGCAGGAGGTGCAAATTTGTATGCTGCCCGGACATATAGAATCAAAGAACAAGAAGCCCTTAGGTAAACGACAACATTCTAATATTTGTTCGCCAGGTTAAATTTGCTTGTTTGTGATAACATAACCAATAAGTTAACCGACTTTTCTAATTAACAACTTAAATTAAAATATATATTTGGCTCACCTATGAATTGAGTCATCTTTATTCAAACCAAAATATTTGAACTTGGCTGTTATTAAAATATTAGGATGATCAACTTTATGTGGTTACTGTTTATTCAGGACCTACTACTTCTATGAGTTTGAAATTAATGGACAGCACGTTGCTTTAGCTGCTGGAATTGATAGTGGCAAGGTACGTTATTTCTCTGGAACTTAGTACTTTCCTGAACTTTGATTGAATGGTATTTTATCAACGTTCATTTAGGATAAGAATTCATTTTACTCAAATCATACACATTTGTATTTTCATCATAATATTGACTGTTGTTTTTTCTCAAGAAGTATCTTGCACACAAACTTCTTAGGTTTTCCTATATAGATGAGTTAAAATATTCTTTGCTGCATATGAAAAGCTCGCTGAAATCTGTGCTCTATGAATCTCAAGTTCTTTTTGAGACAACTTCTTGCCTAGCATTTCAGACTACCACCATAGTTATATTTGAAAAACTACTTTCTTGCTTGCTTCTAGAATTTTTTTTGGGTAAGAAACTGTTTTTTACAACCAAATATGTTGAAGTATGGGGGTTATAATAAAACCGCTTTACGACTTGAAAAAGAAATAGAAATATTTATAATTTTCACCGCAGAAATTATTTTTACCACAACTACTTTACAACAACACTTAAAATAAGCTGTAGTGGTCCCGAACAAAGCCTAATCTTTATTAACAAGTCTCTCCTGTGCTTATGGCTTACTGTTGTATTCCATTCTAGACACTCTTATCATATTTGGAGTCAATTCAAGGAGAGCCTTTAACATTTTGTCAAGATAATTTTGGTCTGTTAAAAAGCATTGGATTAGATGCATACCTAATAGAAGGTTTCCCTCGCTTGTTAGGACTGAGTAAAGGCTAATAAATGTGATGGAAATCAACAAATGAAATAGCCAATTTAGTTATAGAGTATCACATATCTCAAATTGCATGCTTAACTTTTGAAACTTAGCTCTGGTTTTTATTTTCATTTGCATGTTATGGTTGTCTTGCTCAAATTGCTTTGATGTAAGCTATGAAGACAGATACAAAGATGTGGCCTTGCATCATTTATGTTTATTTTGCAACTAGAAAAAAATTTGGGTTATTATTTTTAAGGGAAAATGTATCAAAATGGTCCCCTGACTCTTTGCACGGAGCCAGTTTAGTCTCAAAGTTTATGAAAGTATCAATTAGTACCCATATTCTCTTAATGAGAGCTAAAATAGTCCTTCCTTGAGACTATTTCAGCACATATTAAAATAATATGAAGACTAATTTGACATTTTTATAGACTCTAGGACTAAAATGCCCTCACTTATATAATCGAAGGACTATTTTGATACTCTTGTTAAGTGTATGGTTTAGTCGGGCTGTAACTCAGATACTCTCACAAGAACAGAAGTTCTTCTTTCACTATGTGATTTTTTCAACAATTAAATTCCCGAAAAGCCCCTACATGTGTAGCCAATTTAATCTTCAAATGTCTAATCTCTTAAATTAGCTCCACGAGGTTTGAAAAATTGATCCAAAATGGTGTCTCGGGAACTAAATTGAGATCAATTTTGTATAATCAAGGCATTAAACTGGGATCAGTTCTGCTTTACAGTTTTTACGTGAAATAATTTTGAATCAATTTTGCATTGTTGATAAACTAAATCAGATAAAATATGGTACTTGAGATGAAATTGATCGCATACTAGGATTATTTTGAGGATTCAATGTTTGCATTGACGTTGAATAAATTTCAATGAGCATTGCTAAATTTTTAAATTATCACTCATTCTGTTATAATAAAATCTTATATGATTGTTGAAAGGAAGATTTATATGCATGCCACTCAATTCTAATGTATTTTAACACCCAACACCGAAACTTCAGTTCTTACACATATGCCCTCCCTTTCCATGCATGAAAATGTGCATTTCACTTTTTAAGAGTTAAATAGTGGTGCCTTTGATGCGATATGAAAGATTTGAGGGGGTATAAATGTAAAAAATAAGTTTAGGTGTTCATTTAAATACATGGGAATTGTGTAGTATGTAAGAATAAATGCTCCTTGTTGAAAAAAATTAAGTTTTGTTGATGTCTGCTTGCTTTTGTATATCCCAGACATACATTGCAGGAGCAGCTGCGCCACAGGTGAAATGGAAAGATGATGGTATTAAGCTGCGCTCTGCTGCCTTATCTCTTACTGTTCTATGACTATATATAAATTTTCTGGAATTGTTTAGCCACAAAAGTTTCTGTGGGAAACCAAGTCTATTTCATTTTATCAATATTGTTGTTTGTTTATGTAATATTAGAGATTTGAGTGTCATGCATGCAATTATAGAAGTTTAGGTGTTAGATATGTAAATACATAAGAATTGTATGGTATGCATGTAAATGCCACCCTAAAAACATTGTTTAAGTAAAAAATATTCATGATTTCCTTAAATTTGTTGTAATCATAGATTTTGTAAATCCAATTTCTTACAAGTTTTGTCTTAAATTTTGGATTTTGTAAAAACCTGGTGGTGACATGATTGATAAATTTGGATTTACAGGATTTATTTAATTTGTTAAATCCATTTTCAATTAGCCCCCAAGCATTGGAAAAGATATTGCATCAGGACTCCACACTTAGAATTACGTGCGGAGTCAAATGAAATCACGCCACAGAGGAGTCAAATGAAATCACGCCACAAGAGAATATTCCTGGTAACACAAGTAACACACAAATAACACAGGGAATATTCTCCCGTGTTATTCAGGTGTTATTATATGTTATTCATGTGTTATTGTGTTATGAGAATATTTTTGATGTTATAATAACACAATAACACTTGAATAACACCTGAATAACACGGGAGGAATATTTACCGGGTCATTTTTTTTTTTAATATTCTCCGGTGGCGTGATTTCATTGAACTCTGCACGTAACTCTACATGCAAAGTCCTGATGTAATATTTTTTCCAAGCATTGGAGGATTTAATAAATTTGGATTTACAGAACTTACTGAATCTGCCAAATCCATTTTCAAGTTGACCCCAAGCATTGGAGGATTTGATGAACTTGGTTGAACCAGCTTTATTTGGGATTGGATTTCGTGAATTTTGTGAACGATGAAATGTGGTGTGATTTGTGATTGGACATGATGATTTTTGTAAATGATAAAGTTTAGTGGGGTTATAAGATTTAAATATTTAACACACAATACTTATATTTATGCAATTATATTTTTATTATGGTTGTTGGCAACATCAATTATGTAATTGCGCATACTATTTATACGCATTAACTCTTATAATTTATATTTGAAAATCGTCCAACAATTTGTCAAACCAAACCCAACTAACTTAATATGCAATAGCCAGTATTTAAATTTCTAAACAAAATAACTATATTTTCATATGATAGACCCCACGCCCTTCATTACTTTCTAATATAATCAACGTATCTATCTTACACATATATATATATTAAAGATTATTAATGTTGTTAATTTGATTTAGGGGTGTTTGATAGGATAATTGTAATAGGATTTGGTCATGGATTTAATGTTAAATTCGGACAAACACGAAGAAAATGAATATTAAATTCAATGCACTGTTAAATCAAATATTCTCGTTTTTTGTCTCCTTTACGATGTAAATTTGGATTTACTGATTGTGAGGCGGATTTAAGGATTTATTACGTCGTGCTACAAGCTCCATCTCAATCATCATTTACGTGGATATAAATAAATCCGAATTTGTTGGATTTACTAAATCTTATTTAGGCTGTGTGCAACGTGGATGTACGTTAAATAGGATTTATCAAATCAAGTAAATCCGATAAATATGTGTGTCAAAGATGGAGCTCGCAAATGACAAAGGAATAAATCCTTAATTTTATCAGTTCTATTAAATATGAATTTACATCGTAAAATGAGAGAGATTTGTTTTGATCTGATTGTAACCAGAATAAGCAACCATGACACTGACCATTTGATATCCGAGATAGAATCAACTAATTGATCTATTCAAGGAAGAAAAAAATTATCTTTTGGATAAGTTTTATCAAGATCAGTATAATAGACACATATCCTTTATGCTCTGAAAGTCTTCTTCACCATAACGATGCCATGAGCTAAATTGGATGATGTAACACCTATATGAAATTACCTTAGAGAAGCTTATCGACCTCTTGATCAATTTCTTGTTGGCGTTCTTCCACAAAATTTTGCTTCTTTTGAATAATCAGCTTATACATGGGCTCGATTTTTATCGAGTGCGTATTACTTCAGGATCAATCCCGAGCATATTCGTCGGACTCTAGACAAATACATCTTAATTTTTATGGAGAAATTTCACATATTCCAAGTTTTTCTTATTAGACGGAAAGGACCCAAACAACATTATCCATGAAAAACGTTTCTCAGACAAAGAAATACAGACCAAGTTCTCTACTGGTGAAGCCCGCTAAAATATATTTTCATCTCATATGTCAAAACTCTAGATATTGAGAGTCACTGACAAACACAATTAGGCTTGTCTGAGGTAACATGATTGTGCTATTTTTTATCCCAATATATAAGGCCAACTCCGGATGGTGTTAAAAATTTCTGCTTGAGGTGTAATATAGATACCACTGCATGAATGATTGGCTGGAGTTGTCTTCCAAAGATGACATTGTATGTTGACTTCAATTTGACAATTATGAATAGAATTGTGTGAGTCATCTGTCTGGAGAATAATCTTAATATATCAGGGAGAGTGATTATTCCCACAACACTCACGAACTGATTATTAAAGACGTAAAAAAGTCTAGTAGCAGGTTGCAGTTTTTTCTTAGTCAGCCCTGAACCTAGGAAAATTGATAAAATAGCTCACTCCGTTGTTAAGAATTTCTTTAGATTATAATAAGTTTCACCAATTATTTCACTTATAATAATAAGATCTTGGTGAAGGATTTGCACTCTCTCAATATATGATCATGAAAAATGATGGAGTGGCAGACACGAGATTTCTTTAGTGAAAGCTCTTCATATAAAGTGAAAAGGACTTGTGCATATTAATTGTCCTCCTAGGATCATTCCAATTTACTTGACAGCCTAGTGACTCTCCTGTTATTTCTTTTGGGCACATTGTCCCCAGTAGGGGTGTTATTCATAAGGGATTTTACTTTATATGAATTTTTCTAAATAACCCTATTGGATTAACATTTTAATCTATTTTTTAAGCTAGTAATATGTTTCAGTGTTACAACCACAAATTTGATAGAAATGATAATATTGTTCTTGATTTCTCACATCCACCTTAAAAAATGCGGCCTTATGAGCATTCTTATCGTCAATTGCAATCAAAATGTTAACATGTGTTGTGCTAAGTGGCATTATTCTCCTTCTCTGATTGAGATTCAAGATTTTGTGATCAAGGGGGTAAAACATGATTTCCCTATGGCTTTTACTTCTTTTGTTGAGAAGATTTAGTTGTATCTATGGGGGAAAGTTCTTATGCTTTCCTAAGACGCTCAAATTATATATTGTGTGTATTAATATTCTCATCAATAGCAAATTATGCCTCAAAATGATGGATAAGGTCAACACATGAACGTCGCCCCCATCAAAGATGAGTAGAAAGAATAAGGATATAATGCCCCCAAGAAAATACCTTTCAGTAATTTTGGATCTACTCCTCGGATTTGATGAGCTTTAATTGAAATCCTCGAGAAATAATCCTTAAGTGACTCCCCCACGGTTCGACGAATCCCACAGAGATGAGAAGAGTCTTTAATAATCCTTCAATTTATGTGAATTGCTCCACAAATGATTTTACAAGTCTGTCAAATGTATGAATGATCCAAAACTAAGTATGTGCTTGGCCATTAAGAGTCACAAGGAAAAATTGACAAAGGAGCACATCGGAAGCTTGCTTTATATGTTTGTACATGCCAGTGTCCCATCATATGATTCAATGCTTGGAAGCTTAAAACCTGTTGGAATAGGGTCTTGAAGGACCTTCTCAGCCAATGGAGTAAACTATTGAGAACCACGCGAAGCGAAGAAACGACTTCTATCCCTCAGAGGAAACTCCTCTCGCACTAGACATCATAACTCTTCACGAACTGTGTGGGGTCGAACTACATTCTCCATGTGTGTTGGAGACTTGCTGCTAAACTTAACTACTGGGGATGGACGTATAGAGCTTGCAATGTTCAAAAGATCAACTTGATGGAGAGGAACTTCAGTGTGCAGAGGTGGTGGCAACTATGTACCCTTAATCGGTAAATTTTAGTTGCACCCCTCCATTATGCACAACTATCAGTTCTCGAGCCTCACATAAAAGTAAGATGATCTCATTTTAAGACTCCGTTCTTTGTACACAATCTTCAAGAGATGTAAATGAGGTTTCTTCGCCAACAAGATGATTAATATCGTTGGAAAATGGAGATATATGAAATCGATATTTGGCAGAGACCCAAATATCGATTTCCCATGCCATTTTGGGCCCCATGATGAGAGCCCGCACAACGCGCCTAAAATTCTATAGCCCTTGCGCCATGACGAGATCGAACCCTTGACCTGAGGGGACTTACAATGACCTCACCATCAACAACCAACCCCCCCCCCCCCCCCCCCCCCCCCCCCCCCACACACACACGTGATAATTTGGTCATCAAATTAGATTTGAAAAAATCCTACAATACTATAAGTTGGGAGTTTATTATAGAGATTTTGCATGCAAGAGGCTTCAGAGATGATTTCTTTAATATCATTGGCAGATGGCTTAAGGGCAATTTTTATAAAAATAATTGTAAATGGTAAGACTTAGTGGTATTTCACATCTAGTCGTGGCATTAAACTAGGTGACTGATAGTCACCTACTATTTTTTTTTTTTTTTGCTTTTGATTATTTCTCTAAGATGATTGCTATAATGCAATTGAACCATCCTAAAATTTTATATAAACACAAAATTGATATCTATGATGGTCATTTAGCTTGTGAGATGATGTGATCGTATTTACTAAAGCTTGTAAGATTGTGGTGAGAAGAACTTATAGGATGTTGATGGACACTTCGAGCATGATGTTTTAATAAGGTCAAATGTCAACTTTTTTTTTTGGGTAAACATTTTAATTGCTATTTGAAAAAGTAGATGCAGGAATTTACTGGCTTCAACTTTGTTGAGTTATCTCTTAAGTATCTCAGTATAAATCTTCTTAAGGGTAGAAGGAAACAAAATCAATTTGATGATGTGGTGGAGAATATTAAAAAGAAAATTTATGACTTACAAATATATTCCTATCCTTTGGTGGCCGAATTACTTTACTTAAAAATATCTTAAACTCTATTCCTCTATATGCTTTGCGGGTTCTCAATATGAAATCTAAAAACTTCTTGAAATGTTTTAACAAATTTTTGTGGTTGTGTGAGAAAAGAAGTGTGCATTGGGTTAGTTGGAAGAAGTTACACAAATCAATTTTTTCTTTCTGGTGGTTTGGGCTTTAAGAAACTTCATCATTTGGCTGAAATTAACTGTATATAACTTTGGATCAAATTCCGTGCTAGCGAATCACTTGGGGCTAATTACATGCCTTAGTATCATTCCTCAGATGATAGGAGACTAAGATGTGGAGAAGGATATGGAAATTAACTGTTATGTTATTTATAGATTTTGGTGGGTCACAATTTACTCATTTGTATTTTGGACTTCTTCTTGTTGGGAGCTATAATGTAATTCTGGAGGAGGTCCCTCCGCACTATGTAACTTTTTACTCGATCGTTATAATTCCCTATAGGTTTTTTGTGTAAGTTGTGGTTTTGGGTGTAGTGGGGTTCTCCCAAATATATATATATATATATATATATATATATAAACATACATATATACATATTTACTATATATTAATATACATAATAACACATTAATACTAAAACCAAACCATCGCAAAAAAATAGCAAAATCAATCCGATTTATATCGCCACTACGGTGGCTTTTCCGAGTGTTCACGCTTCACGCTACTGAAAAAAGCAGCGGAGGGCGAGAGAGTGAAGAGAAACAGAGCAATGGCGATTCAAGAGGGGGAGGTCATCAACTGTTGGTCCGCTCCAAGATCTCTCAGCACTAGTCTGATGTACTCCTTCGCTCAGGTACTCGATCATTTCTGCTTAGCTAACCATTCGAGATTGCTTTCTTTCCTTCTGTAATGCAGCGATGGTTCACCGATGATTGATTACTGTTATCGGTAATGAAACATTTGATGATGCGAATGAGCTATTATCTCTGGATATTAATTAAGGCAGTGTTTGGTAGCAAGATTTGAGCAGGATTTAAGCGAGAACTAACTCAAATCGTGTCAAACGATCTTTATGGAATTTAATCTTTCTTCAGGTGAAATTTCATTTTCGTCCTGTTCTACCCTAAATGGCTAAATCCGTGATTTGGTGAATCCTGGGGATATGGGGTGTGAGTTTTTAAATTTGGAAAATAGATTATAGATTATAGATTAAACCTTGTATTCATTTAAATCATAAAATTGGAAAAACAAGTCACATAATTTTTGAAGTTGTAGTTAGATTTAACAACTGCCATGTCGAACAATTATTTGGATATACCATCACCAAAATTTCTAAAATTGACTTTTAAGGATTTACTAAATTCTATTTGAGTTAAATTTTAATCGTAGGCCATCAAACCCCTAGGTTTAGGGAGATCAGATCTTGAAGGAAATTAAATTATTTCACTTTTTTCAAAGTGAAATATATTGAGTAGATTTCACTTTAACCTTTTTTTTATTGAGTAGATTTCAAAGTGAAATATATTGAGTAGATTTCAAAGTGAAATATATTTGAAGGAAATTGTAGTAGGTTTAGTGAAAGGTGTGATTGTCAGGTTTGTAAACGATTGCATCTAGCATCATGCTAAAACCATGGATTCTTACTGTCTTTTACCTTTTTTTATTGGTTCTCATCACATCTTAAAGTGGAAAACTATTGAGTAGATTTGACTGTTTGAAGTCATCATTGAATACATCAAATGAGTTTTCAAATTTAATAACCTCTATCACTCTAGAAATATAAATATTTGATTAATCATGTAAAATTATTATTGTAATTTTCAGCATATATTTATGGCTACACACATTGCAAGATTTTGGCATGGTACTACAAACTAACATCCTCATATTAAGCTCTGTTTTTACATGTCTATGGTTAGTAATTTTCTGAGCAAACTCGATCGTACTATTTTTCATTTGTAGCGGCCCATTCATGGTTGTTTGCTAAACTTTGAACTTATCTAATTTTTTGATGTTAATATAAATCTCAATGCATCTTAGTATGTTATTTTGCATCAATGCAATGCTTAAAACAAGGTAAGTTTAATATTTTAAATGCTTAATTTTCCTTATTGGAAAGTGCTATTATTATATGGAACAACTTGAGTAATATGATGTCAAGCTGGTTGATTATTCTAAACATGTATGTGTGTTGTTTTGGTTGTATATCGTAAGAATTTATATATTTTTTTGTAATTAAACATGCATCCATATTTTATATAAATTAAATTAAAGAAACAGTTAATAATGCGATTGAAATGGTCATTTAACAAATAACTAAAAAAAATGGCATTGAGTTGCAACTTAATCGCAGAATGTTAAATTTTCCTGTAAGAGTTAGCGTAGTCCTATGTGTGTTGTTTTGGCTATATATCGTAAGAATTTACATATTTTTTTGTACTTAAACATGCATCCATATTTTATATAAATTAATTTAAAGAAACAGTTAATAATGCAATTGAAATGGTCATTTAAAAAATAACTAAAAAAATTGGCATTGAGTTGCAACTTAATCGCTAAATGTCAAATTTTCCTGCAAGAGTTAGTGTAGTCCTAGGAAAAGCTGAAAGATGTCATGGCTATTTTCACCAAATTACACACACACAAGGATAAATTTATAACAATAGAAATCTTTAAATTTCTTGATCAATAAATACTTAAGAGAGAATTAGTTGTTTGGCTGAATCAACAAAACATTGATTTATATGGGTTGGGACTGCCTGGGCTAATCATGTCTTAAACTGTATTCATAAAACTTTAGAGTGACATGAAGCTTGAACATCATAAGGATTTATATGTTTTTTTGTACTTAAACATGCATGTATATTGTTTGTAAATTAAAATTAAAGAAACAGATAAAAATACGATTGAAATGCTCATATTACAAATAACTAAAAAAATTGGTATTGTGCTGCAACTTAAAAGCAAAATGTTAAATTCTCCTGCAAGAGTTAGGGCAGTACTAGGAAAAGTTGAAAGGTTTCATGGATATTTTGACCAAACTACACACACACAAGGATGAATTTAATACAATTGAAGTCTCTAAATTTCTTGATCAATAAATACATAAAAGAGAATGGGTTGTTTGGGTGCATCAATAAAAACATGATTTATATGGGTTGGGAAGGCATTGGCTAATCATGCCTTAAACAATATTCATAAACTCTCAAAACTCTAGAGTGAAATGAAGCTATAATGGAAGAATTATGGTACTTATGTGTGAAGTTTCTGAACTCCTAACAAAAAAAAAGTTAGGTACAAATGGATCTTGGTCAAATATAAAGCAGATGGGAGCGTGAATAAAGCTAAAAGTTTACTTGTTGCAAAAGGCTACCCCCAATTGTATGATATTAATTATAAAAAGAAATCTCTCTAATTTCCAAACTAAACATATTTCGAGTTTTACTTTTTGTAGCAGCAAATTTGGACTGCTATATAGATCAATTCAATATTAAGAATGTTGTTCTGTATGCGATCTTGTGGAGGAAGTATAGATGGACATCCCACTTGGATTAAAAAAATCAGAGAAACAATAATGAGGCTTGTAGACTCAGAAAAGCGTATGTGATATTAAACAATTCCATCATATGCTTGGTTTTGTAGATTCTTTAAATTCATTGAAAGATGTTGTTGCTCTTAGTGCTTAAGCTGATCACACTCTTATAACAAGTGTGTACCTAAAGTAAAAATTATTTTATACAGATGATTTTAATTGTGTACACAATTGATATTATGTTGATAGTTGACTTTGAAAAAGAGCTAACCTGACTAAAATGATTATTAATAAGAAAATTTGATGTAAAAGATTTTATACACTTCATTGTGTTGTTATTTCTAAGAGTAGCATATTCTTGATCCACTTTAAAAAACCTGAATGCCTTTCTATGAACCCATAGAAACTCTAATGAACCAAAAAAAAAGAGATTGGGTTCGTAGATAATAAACTATTTGTTGATAAAGGTTGTCATCAACGCCTTGTGTGCAGACTCTTTCAGTAATCCTATTATTGGTTTCTTTGCTAATGTTGTAAGTCAAATCATTAACAATCCTATTGATGATGATGTAAAAGTTGTTAATTCAAAGGCATGCCTCTAGGAAAGGCTTGTTATATAAAAATGCATCCAATAAAAAAAAAATAAATTTTCATTGATGTTGATTGGGAACATACCAAATCTACACCTCTGGCTATTATTCTCATGCATGAGAAAATTTGATTACATGAATAAATAAAAAATGAACCAATATTGAAGTTGAGTGCATGACAATAAGATTTGATATTTATGTAGGAATGTGGTTAAAAGTTTGTTAGAAGAATTAAACTGTCAAGTGACAGAAATCTCTAAAAGCGTACTATGACCATCAGATTGTCATAAGCAATGCAAAAATCTATATCACTAAATTGAAATTTAAGAAAGACTAATCTTTCATATAGAAAATTAAAATGTACTAGTCCAACTAAATTTTGAATTGCAGATATTCTCACTAAGACTTTACTCAAAAAGTGCTTATACAATCCAACTTAAGGGAGAGTGTTGAAAAAATCTTGAATTCATGGCTAGCTTTTTTCGATCTTCAACAACCTCATAATTTGTGCATGCAATTTTTCATCTACAACAGCTTGTGTAATTTTATTTGCAATAATCCAATAATGCATGGATAATAGCATTCCATTTATGTTGTGTAATTAATTATGGATTCCATAATTAGAGATAGGTTTCTAGATTTGTTTCTTTTTAAATTTCCTGATACGGGAGTTATTTCAAGCAATAATAAGCAAACAAATATTATTACCGCAAAAACCAATATGCAATTACAACAACCACCACGAAAACATAAAATAATAGCACACACAACAAACGACATGACACACAACTAGGGCGACAAGGTGGTAGGTGGGCTAGACATCGGAAGAACAATAGTTAAAGGTGGTCTGGAGCGTCCGAAGCAGCTGCAATGAGGATTTTGGCAACTGTCACAGAACTAGGGCTGGAGGGAGAATGATTTTGGGTGGTTGGGAGCAAGGAGGTGGCAAGGGGGATGGTTTCGGGTTGTTGAGATAGTAGTAAGGGCATCAAGGGAGTGATTCTGGGTGATGATAGTAAGGAGGCGGCAAGGGGGATGGTTCTAAGTGGCTGGAACAACATCATAGGTGATTATGGCATCTGGAACAACAACAAGCATGTAGGAGAGGATTTTGGGTAATGACAACAAGGAGGCGACAAGGGGGATAGTTCCAGGTTGCTGAGATAGCACATCAAAGGAGTGATTCCGATCGATGGCAACAACAAGCACATAGAAGAAATGATTTTGGGTACTGGCAACAAGGAGGGTGTTGTTGGGAGAACAAGAACTGCAGGAAAATAGCTAGGATGTGGCTGTCTGGGCGTCTAAAGTGGGAAGGAATGTATGGCAGCGAAGCGGGAGGAATGCAAAGGAGATGGGGAAGAATAAACACCACATCGGGAGTGAGATCTAGCCGGAGCACCACTCGATCCTTGGAGGAGAGTCACCATCTCAGAACAAGATACAACTGGAGCCCTACTCGCTCTCCAGTACAACCCTGGATGGGAAAACAAGGGACAACGACGACTGTTATGATAAAAATACAAGCAAAAATTGAAAACCTATAACAAAAGAAACACATGCATGACTTAGATGATTAGAATTGGGTTCCTCTCTGGAAAGGAGATGTCGATCTCTCGTGGAAAAAAACTGGCCGACTCTAACTTGGTCTAGTTGTTTCAAAATGCGGAAGTTGTTTTGTGCTCATGAAATACCGCATTTAGAAGCTCTTTCCTGCATTATTTCCCTGCA